AAGAAATCTTTGAACGGCTGCCATTTTGCGCAGGATCAACCTTTTGAAGTGCGGTTTGCGGCACTGTATTATACTAAAAAATACCTTTCATTTGATGTGCATATTGACCTATGCTTCAATTTAAGATTTTCGACCGACTCCTTGTGGGCCGTCCCCCTGAAGAGTTATTGGATCACTGAATAAGTGTTAAAATAAAGATTTATGCTCTGTAACTTTGTACCAAGTATTGTAACTCTATCTACATTATTTTTTATAGTTATTTGTGCAACTAGTGAGAAAAGTGAGCAATTGACTCACTCGAGAGAAATCCTTACTCACGAGCCGTAGGCGAGTGAGGAATGGTTTCTCGAGTGAGGCAATTGTACTTTGAACTCGAGTTGCACATTATACTTTTCCTACAGTTACCATAAAACAAATAAATTGGTGAAGAAACATAACCTATTTTTACACAGAAGTGAACTTTTAACATAACATTTAATGCGAAGTGACAACAGTACAACAGCTGACCAGCTGATTTACAGCCAGTGCTGCCAACGTATTTCGCGCGCATACGACGTTGACTGCATGTTACGCGCTCACTATTTCGTGCCTTCACGTTGCAAATCTGGAGTGAGACAAAGTAATTAGAGTGAGACAATGTTAACATTGTCTCACTGATGGGCGAATTGGCCACTTTGCTTTCTCAAATCAGTGAGAGAACATGTACATTGTTAGGTAACTGTAGGAAAAAATATTTGACTGTCTTCGGACTTTATTACCACCATGTATAGGCGTCACTATCAGATCTTGATTTCAGTAGGTGTAGACAAGTAAAGATTTTATAAAAAGCTGACGCGCCGAATGTAATTGACTGTTGTCACGAATGTTTGAAAAGAAATCAGCATGGATTGTAAACATAAACAAATGACGTAACTGGCCCGAATCATATACTAAGAACATTAACTTATGTTTAATTTAAGCAATGCTAAATAATGTTTAATTTTGGATCAGTAATATCATTTATTTATGTTTAAGATCCATACCAGGTCTGTTCTAGTATTCGTGATTGTTGTCGAGTAGTGCATTTTTTAAGCCTCTGTCTAATTGAACAGTTTTCTTAATAATAAATTTGTGTATGACAAACAAACAATGGTTTCAACAAACTACTATTAGCCCCATACTATAACCTCATATTGAAGTACAGATTGAACAAATGCATAGTATATAGTTATTTGTGCAACTAGTGAGCAAAGAGAGCAATTGACTCACTCGAGAGAAATACTTACTCATGAGCCGTAGGCGAGTGAGGAATGGTTTCTCGAGTGAGGCAATTGCACTTTGCACTCGAGTTGTACATTATATTTTTCCTACAGTTACCATAAAACAAATAAATTGGAAAAGAAACATAACATATTTTTACACAAAAGTTAACTTTTAATATGACATTTTATGTGAAGTGACAAATACAACAGTACAACAGCTGACCAGCTGATTTACAGCCAGTGCTGCCAACGTATTTCGCGTGCATACGACCTTGTCTGCATGTTACGCGCTCACTATTTCGTGCCTTCACGTTGCAAATCTGGAGTGAGACAAAGTAATTAGAGTGAGACAATGTTAACATTGTCTCACTGATGAGTGAATTGCCCACTTTGCTTTCTCAAATCAGTGAGAGAACATGTGCATTGTTAGGTAATTGTAGGAAAAGATGTTTTTTCACCAACGTTTAGAATTTCGCATACGTTTTTAAACCATAAGTTAATGTCCTAAGTTTTTCTTCAAATCGTGAAAAGTTAAACTATGTTATGGCTTGAGAAAGTATCTAATTAATAAACAATACAATCTGCTTGATGAATCAAGTGTTGCAAACAAAGTGTAGAGTTTGATATGAGATTTATAATTTTTATGAAAAACAAAGGTTAACAATAAAATCCATACATTTTCGCAGCCTCCACAGTTTTAGTTTCGTTTGGTAAAATTTGTTAAATATACAAATAGAGGTAGTTACTAGCTCGTTTATGGAGCTGGATGGCTGAGTGGTTTTATTGCTTGCCTAGTAATCAAGAGGCAACCGGTTCGATTTTTTAAATTACCAATAAAACACGTAAACCTTCGAACTGCTCAGTTTTCAAGCCGTGCACGTGCTTTAATATTTTCGTGTCTTTTGTTGTATATGTATTATTTATCAACCGTCGACGCAATGACAATGAAGAAATGTCGTGAAAATTTTAAATACAATAATTTAGTTTAGTGTACGACTGCGCACCCGACGATTAAGTAATAGAACGACCGTAGCGCTATTGCACTCGTGGTGTTATTACAAATCTGGATTGCGAAGACAGTAAGTAACTTATATATTTGTGTATATGTACACGCAATCTGCCACACTCAAAAACCGTTATCTAATAATATTTTTTTTAAATTGCTGTTGCACGGGTTAATTTTGATTTTGGAAATTTTTTACCCGATGTTTTAGTATGACTCTGGTCCAGAACGATGACTTAAAAGATGACAGAGACACCCTGTACAAAAAAGTTCGGGGACACACTATACAAGAGAAACTATTATACGAGGTTTAGTTTAGGGAGATCTTCATTGGAGAAACAGTTCTCCTTTCCTGAGAAGTCTATCCGTTTTTCCAAACATGTAATTGCTCTTTGAAAAGACTTGCAAATTGCTCTCAATACAACCATATCGATATAGACCAATCAAACTCCCTTTTGGTAAAAGTTCCAATGCAAATTTCCAAATGAAACCTACGTGCTCTGTTGTGAAAGTAATTGGTAATAATGTTGAGGGCAGTTTTCCTTCAAGTGCTCGTACGCCTGGTACTAAAATCGGCAGTAGAACATTTTACGTGCTTAACGCGTTGTAGACTTCAGTTGTTGACAAGTTGGAATTTATTGTGTATTCTTTCACATAAAGATTTTTTCCTTTTCAGTCATGGAACGTTTATTCAAATTCATTTTTTGATCAATGATTGTCTATGCTTGAAATCTCTACGTGTATTAATCCGAGAGAAGGTTAAATATATTCCAGCTTTAAGCCCACATTTATTTAAGTAATCGTCCATACTATTTCAACCATACTCTCGAATTATCCTGACGGCAGTGAGGAAACAGGAAGCATCGTTTATACGATTTCGGAAACAACAAATAGTTCAAATGGTAAAATGGTCTCTTCAGTCAAAACGAAACGGCAACTTAAATGGGCTAGCCACTTTCAGCATGTGTGAGTTCTTATAAATAATGATGCCCTTGAAATGTGTTCAAACCAGATGAAGCAATGAAGGTACGGTTTTCCGCTCATTCACGACTGCTAATTTAATTTACCTGTTTCCCTAGACATTCAGAACGTATTACTCCAAAATTAATTCCCCCCCAAAATTAAAAATTAATTCCCCCCCAAAATTCATAATCTTGGCATTCATTTAGTAATCGCAGCAATGTTTACGCAACTGTATAAAATCATAACACCAGTTGATGTTGATAAGAAGACGCATCAAACCTTTTCGATGTAACGCACCGATGCGTTAACTTGCGTTACGAAACTTGTGTAACGCAGTAACGCACAGAACTTCTGACAAAGCAATTAAGTGTTGAGCACTTATCCATTCACCTGGTCGATTGTTAAAGACTTGACTCTTGACTCTTCAACCTCTCGACTTGACAACTACTGTACATTGCTTGCGGTACCTCGTCGATACAAACAAAACAAGCAATTACCAAATGCAAATTATATGTTACATATCATATAATTTAGATATTGAACATAATTTAGATATTGATAATCAAGATATTGAATGATATTGACAATCATTCAAACATTCTGATAGTAAATATAACATACAACTAATACAAAAATTAAACAACTAAAAAAATTCCGATGAAATTACGAATTTAAAAGATGTTTAAATGCTTGAAATAAGGTTTTGTAAATTGGTTCTTTTTTAGATTATTTATCTTTTCCCTTTCACTCATAAATACAATGAAAATTTAAAGGCTTGGATTGTCTTTAAAAAAATAATGTTTTTTATAAAAGTTGCTAATATTAAAACATTTTAGTTGACGTAATATTACACTATACAAAATTAAATATTTAAATATGTTAAGTTTAATTATTGGGATTTGTTTATCAAGGGGGATGAAATATATAGCTCGGAATATGAATGGTTATACCATAGTTCTCACCTAGTAATGAAACGGTCACCTGTTTAATATTGAGAAAAGTCTGTAGCTTTTTGAAGGTTCAAAACTTGACACAGCTTGATAGTTGAGTTTTAAATCAATCGTCCTGGTTCAACCAACAGCTGGTCCCAATCTGCAACAAAGCTACAAAAGACATGTCACTCATTTCTATAATTTTGATTAAAATACGCCCATTTACATCTCCATGTTAATTAGTAATACTAAAAAGTAATAGCAAAAGTTTTTTTTTATTGACATACCTCAGCAAGTAATAAAATACATCAGTGTAAAATTAGTTTCTAATTTTTCTGTCTGATCACAATTTTTAAAGATTGATTCTACTTTAAAATAAATCAAACATTATTTATTCAACATAACTTGATTATACTTTATAGTTCAATAAAGTTCAAGCCAAAATCCCACAAAATATGTAGATCAAAGGATACTAATTATGGTGTTGCCTTTTGATCGATTACTTAGTTGTATAGAACTATTTTGAATAAAAATTGATTATTCATAAATTAATCAATTATGATGATATGTCCACCTGCAAGGGAATATGCTAACTGCGTAATCGTAGTTCAGGAATAAAGTTGGGACAGTTAGGGCTATGTCACTTTCAGTCTTACATGTGATTTTTAGGAATTCTCCCAACAACAAAACTCCTCATTGTTCTTGATGATATTTGTTTAAAACCAATGAAAATTTAACTTCTTTTCTCACGCTTCGTAAACCATTGTAATAGCTCTTTGTTGGGTCTTATCATCAATGCTACTTTAAAGGCCATAATTATGTTGGTGAACATAACTCTCCTTTAACAATTTCTCATATTATTTCGTTCAACAAGGATCGTACTCTGGGATTTTCTGCCTTGATCGGTAATGTATTTGGCAACTCTTTTTGGTGTCTAATCGGTTTAAATAATTAAGTGAGCAAGGTAAAAAGGCAATTTTTGAAGTTGTAGAAGGCCACCAAACTTCCCTTTGACCATAAATTATTGATTTTTAAAAGAGTAGCGAAAGAGTGATGAAGTTGATAGCAAAAGAATAACCATTTTGTCCGCTAATCATTTCTAATTCTTTGTTTGATTCTTTTTCTTATTATTTTCCTAATTTTTTGTGTGTTCATAAGAATGTTTGTTTTTGAAAGGTGTCTGATTATAAAGCCCCTCGAAAGTCCGTAATTGTTATTTCTAAGTAAAGTTAAATTATATATATCCAATATACATTTTTCAAACCACCCAGAATTTTGTGCTGTGTTTGGATTCGTCACTAGGCTAAATGATCAACGATGTTTTACAAATAATGGGTGGACAAGTTAAAGACTTTCATTACGAGTTTACTGAATAAGCAATAGAAAGAATATAGAATTTATAAACGGTTGTATTATTTTTAGTCATTAAATCACTTTCCAAAACAAGCTGAAAATATCATTGTGAAAAAAGCTGAGGAAAAATACTCATGTGATAAAAGCTTTACAGTTTTAGTGTGTTTTAATTTCTTAGTCACAATTCTGTAAGTGCATTTTTTTCAACAAAACATAAAAACCATACAAATCTTTACAAATTTATTTGTATCCAAAGCTGTTGAAAATGTTGCACTTAATTAGCAAAATAATTAGCAGTTTTCATTTTTAAAATGATAACACTAAAATATAACTTTTTGTAATAGACAATTCTGTTTGTTTCGTAATCGCTCAAAAATATACGAATTGACGTGCCTTCGTCCACAAATATTAGTTTTTTAATATGAACATGTAAAAACATGAACATGAATCGTGGAGATGGACTTTTTCTAACTAGTTTCACTAACTAATTTCACGTAAAAGTAATACGGTTTTAACAGACATTATAAAGCATATTTTATTGGAATAACTTGGGTCTTTTTCGATAGTTTACATGTAACATATGGAATATTCCGTTTATCACTAACGAATGATCATATTGATGTTCCATTTACCCGTATTAAGTTTGTCACCATCCTTCCTCAACTAATTTTAAGCCTTTCTACCAAACATGCTTCTCTCTTCAACTATAACACCTTTAAAATAATAATATATGTGTTTATTAGGGAATCGTCAAGCGTTCAACATTGATTCAATATGCTAAACTATTTGGTTTAAGATCAATAAAATGTGTTGGAAAGAAATGGAAAATATTTATAATTTGAGGTTGACCCTCAAATGAGGTGATCCCCATTTATTAGAAATGGAAAAAAATCTTATTTTTGCCCCATATAAACTCTTTCCCATAGTCTGATCATGGTGGTTCGCCAACTCGTTTGAATATACATAGGTTTACACTTTCGTACCCAATTTCATCAAAATCGGATGATATTTACTCGAGTTATTGTGCTAACAGACACATACATAAATTTGTTAATGAAAAAATATTCATTCAGGGATTGAATCAATGGACAAATTAATACAATAATAGTTTGAATCTTAGGAAAACTGTAACACATTGAATGACAATCAAATGTATATTTTTGAACTTGAACGAATGGTGTTTTGGAATCTTGGGAACTCAAAAATAAATAGTAAATCGGTCCCGGTCTAGGTCTTACCATGAGACCCACAGTAATAATAGATTTTTCCCTATATGGGAAATTCCCTAAAACCCTATTACCCTTTTTATGAAAAGCCTACAGGGGCATAGGTAGTCTGCACATAACCTTTATGTATAGTCATAAATAACCTTGGATTTCCTTCTAGGAAAATATTTCATACTACTGTAAAAACTAAACCCTTTAAACGACAACAGGATAAACGTTTTATAAAATCATTACAAATTTAAAAGTATGGCTGGATCCCGGAACAAATTTTTTACAAATAAATGTGACAACCCATAAATAATTTTTATTGGAAAGAATGCAAATTAGTGCTTGAATTTGGATAGTTATTACCAGAAAGATGGCAAGATAAGAGGAAATGCCAAAGGTTTAGTGAGGTCGTCAACAGCATTAGGTCGGCGTTAACACAATTGGTTCCATTCGAGTATTGGTCCTTAAACCACGACTACCACCTGTTACCAGGTATTTAAGTCTGATTCGCCGGTTCCCATCAAGCAATTAGTCTTATAATAGAATTATATGAATCATAAATCACTCCTCGGTAAATATGTATAGCTATTTATTGTATCAACACTAATACTACTGTAGTTGCTATTAATGTTGAGTAAGGATTTGGGAGTTATATGGCAATTTACTATTGTATAGTAATGATTTTAAAACAGCAAACATAATTAGGTGCAAAAGTTTCACCGGTTTCAAAGAGCAATGTTATTGCATATAAAGTCTGCTTGTGCTATCAGTTTTTATTCTTCTATTTTCTGATGAAGAAAATAGTGTTTTCCTACAGTCACCCGACAAAGTTGGCTTCCTTGTACTGTTTATAGTACAGAAAGCTGCTAATTGCTGCATATTTATACTTTGCCGTACGGTTTATACTTTGCCGTACGGTTTATACTTTGCCGCACATCAGGATTCCAACGAAACAACACAAAACAGCGTGGTTTTATTATGCACGTAATCCGTGTACGCTTGGAAATAGGTTGGCAACACTTAAAGATAAAAATACTATGAGCAGCTGAATGACTATTATAACTACGATTTAACCTGTCATTTCGTGTTTATAGTTTCGGTATTTCTGAACTTTCTGGACTTTTCTTTTAAACGTTTTTAAAACATTCCTACGATCTTAATAAACAAGAAAATACATTTAAAGCGTTTTTTTAGGCGCGGAAACCACTTCAAATTAGAAAAACATACGGAACTATATTCTCAAAACGCGGAGCACATTTCTTGCCGAGGAAAAATAGCGGAGTGATACGGACCGCGGGTACTACTTTCTCTATTGCACCATTTGTGTCGCCAGCTGAACCTAAAAACGTGTTGTATAGTGTTTGAAAGACTAATTATTTATATGCTTTATAGTGACTGTAGGAAAAATATAATGTGTAACACGAGTGAAAAAGGCCTTTGCTGCACTCGAGATCACTAGTTACACAAATAACTATTCTTTTATCTTTTATAGTGTATTCTTTATGGGAAATGTGATTTTTTATCACTCCGTGCAGAAAGTAGCTATTTTTGATTACAGCTGATATTACAGATTGTAACTGTCCACAAGCTCAAATTTAGAGCAGCTGATTTTCCCTTGCTCTAAATTTATTTTACCTTGCGCTTGATATTTATTTGTCCTTACGCGCGGAAATTTGTTATACTCTTTAATGTGTGTTACTATAAAGTAGTGGAATTTATCATTTCGCTCTACAGGCTGTAGTGGTTCTCCTACCACGAAGAATCCTCCTTGAAAAATACATACTCTTTATTACAGACCTACAATTAGAGTTAGTCGCCGTATTTCAGTTGAGACCAACGTTCAATTTGATCCAATGTCATTAGACATTCCACGTCTGACGTTCAATTCAGTTTGGACCTAAGCCGTATATCAGTCCATTTGGATCTTTTTGGTACGAATATAATCTGGAAAAATCGTGACAAACTGGACCATGTGTCTTCATCCTTCGCCTACTTCAAGATGACTCACACAGTAAATATTATTTCAATATAAGTATCTGGGTATAGGTACCTGGAGGCCAAGATTAGTTCGAGGAAATTCTTTTGACTGGTATAAGAAATCCTTTGTTAGTATAAATCATAGTTTTGTATGACTGTGTAGGATACGGTAACCTTAAATGAGTTCGCGAACCCGCAAGCTTGTGTAATAAAAACAGGATATTATGGGGTTTTATTTTTCAAAAATTGTTTCTTTTCAAATCATTACACTTAAAACATGAAATTACCAACCATCCCCACTTTCACTGTAAATACGCTATAAACAAATAATTTAGTTTACTGAAGTGTTGTTGTACGATTAATGGTTACTGCGTAAATTACAAAAAAAAAAAACTGTACATTAATATTATTACCATGTCTTTAAAAACAACAGGAAACAACAGGAAACAACAGGAACAACAGGAAACAGGATATATTTATGGATGTATTTTGAAAATTTTATTTATTTCATATTGAGCTATTAACATAAAAACCGTTTCCTTCCCTTAAGCAGCAAGCCTAAGTACTCGTTAAACCTATATGGTGCTATTAAAAGAGGAAATAAATCTGGCATGTTCAAGGAGGTATTTTTGTGGAAATCCAATCTGGCAAATGGGAATTCGCTATGTCTGCAGGGTTGCTGAGGTGGGAGTACTTCGTGTACCTATGTTTAGCTGGATTTCAACCCATCGTTCGAGGCATTACCATATCGTAAAATGCGAATGAAGATCGAAGTGGCGGATTTAAAACCGTCTCCAGATCCGCCCCTTTCCCCCATGACTCATACACTTCCCCTATGATAACGCCTACCATAAACACTCACTATTACCTTCTTAGTATATTCTCTTATATACTATATGTATTTCATATCACTAAATTAAAATTGATTCTGCTATAAATACAATGAATATCGATGAGATGCTTTTCTACGGACTACTTAGTGATATTCTTTACTTCTACACACCAACGAGCGCAGCGTTCTCAATAACACAGAAAAAAGGAAAGCACTACAATAACCATCGGTTATGTTAATAGAAATCTTAGAAACAGTGAATAAGCAGTTCTAATGACCTAGATACTATGGCTTCCTTCCCCTCTTGTTTTCACATTCCCCTCGCATATATCCCTATCGAACATTCGGACCTTGACACATTAGTCGTATAGTTTATCTATATGAACATTATCTGTTTTTCAGAGAAAGTGTTAATTTAAAACCACTCTACGTGACTACAAAAATCTTTACAATAAAAAGAATGTTCATCAAAGCAATACTGGTTATTATAAAAAATATGTAGATACATTATATATAACTTGATACGCTGGCATGGATCAGTAATTGTTAATTTAAAAAAATATGTTAGTGATTATAATAACCTAATAAACTTAGTATACCAACTTTAAAACATTGTTAATACTTCTTAATTTAAAAACTTTTTAATTGCAAATAGATATTGAATGGTGTTAGTATGTTATAGGTTGATTTAAAGTTAGACGAAATTCATATTATGATTAAGATGTCAATATCATAGTAGTTTTAGAAATTGAGTTGAATTTTAACTTATAATCATCTCTACCATGTTTCTATATGAATTAGTTTTCTCGTGAAGTGTAGGTACTCTGCAATAGATTTATAATCAGCTGTTATAATAATTCAATTCAAATATGACATGATTTTCAATATATAAATTAAAATTTACGTGTAAGGGCAGGTTGTGCCTTTATCTCAAGCTTATTACAAAAATAAAAATAGATATAACTTCGTGTTAACCCATCCAACTATAAACGGGTGCGTGACATGAGAAAAGATTAGGGAGGAAACATATTGAATTACCCAATTATATTACATCGATTACTCAACTAAATTATAACATTTTAACACTAACGAAGATTGTTTTCCTTTAAAACATATTTATAACCACATAACAAGAAATAAATTTTAAAAATGCTCGCACTGTACTTATTAATAATACATTTAGATTACCGCGTCTTAAAATAGTTTTTTCGTCACTCCGCACCGAAAGTGGCTATTTTCGATAACAGCTGATATCACAGAAGTAGTTTTTTCCCAAGCACTAATTTAGAGCCCCGGTAAAGCGATCAGCTGATTTTACTTCTATCTAAATTTACTTTCCCTCTCCCTAAATTAGTTCACCATTACTGTTTCATTGTTGCATAATCGAAATGTATACAGAAACAGTTTTTTGTTGTGTTTTTAGCATAGTACGTGTTTGAAATTGCTCAAAATATGTCTAACAATCCTGATGATTTGATGGAAAATGTTCATAGATAACGAAACATATTCCACCAAAGAAAGCACGGGAAAGATATGAAGAGGAATGCAGAAAGTTTACGAACTGGAACAAATTACAAAATTTAAAACAAATAAAGTAAACGACGAAGTATTTCGTAATATTTTTATTTAGAAAAATCTATAATCATGGAACCATATATGTTGTGAAGTAGATTATCAATGACAAAGAGTGGTCTGAAACAATTTCAATATTACTGATGTCTTTAAATCTGTATGTGTGTATTTTTGCGTAGTGATCAAAAGTATCGTTCATAACTCGTACCAAATGTTATTTTTCATCATTCCGTACCGAAGAAAGAAACTATTTAAGATAACAGGTGATATAAAAAAGTAGTTAATAAGGGATAAATGATAAATGATTTTATTAGCCATTTGGTACAAATAATACAATAGGCATTGTCATTCTTAAAAAACAAAAACGAATGTCCAATCTTGACCAACATGCACCAATCTAACTACAGCACAACGTTATACAGCAAACCAAAAACAATACATAAAAGTTGCAAACAACTACAAACTACAAAATAATGCAGCAAAACCATGCAGGTGCAAAAAAAAAAAATATACCTTACAGATTCCTATTCTAAGGTACAATAAATGGACCATGCTTCATTGCATCATAAAAATCCTCTATATAATTAAAAGAGTTTGCCAATAGCCACTTTTTCAGGATTTTGAATTTTGAATTAGAAAGAGATTTCACTTGATCTGGTAGCAAGTTAAAGAATTTGATAAACAGGGAAGCATTGTTGAGTTTTACTTAGTCTATTATAATTTAAGTGAATATTATTACAGGATCAAGTCTTACTGGTGTACATCTGAATTTCGAGCAAGTGTGTTTTCTTAAAGGCCACGAGACACTGAAAAATATAAACGTTGATAACAGTCATGATCTGCAACTTACAAAACAAAGGTACACAATGAGCCAGGTAATCAGTCTTGCGGTTGTTTCCCAAGCTCTAATTTGGAGCAAGAGAAAAACGATCAGCTGGTTTTCCATCGCTCTAAATTTACCTTCCCTCGCTCTCGATTAGTTCTCCATTTATCCACTACGCAAGCTAGTGTTTGGTTACGGTTTATTTTAATGATTTTAATCAGCTGATTTCATTGTTGCGCTTGCGCAATCTAATGTATTCCGAAACAGGCAATAATTTGTTTTGCTATGTTTAGCATAGTACGTGTTTTAAGTTGCTCAAAGTATCTAACATTCCTGATAATGTTTTATGAAAAAAGCTTCAGAGGTAACTCACCTTCCACTAGATAAATCACGAGAAAGATAAGAAGAAAATTAAAATGTTTAAAACTGGCACAAATTACAACAAGTCAATTAAAGTAAGTTACGCAGTATTAATATATTTATCTAACAAATCTATAATCATGAAACCATATGTAAGCTGTGAAGTGTATTTTCTATGATAAAGAGTGGTCTAAAACTATTTTAACGTTGCGGAGGTATGTTATTCTGTATTTTTGCGTCGTGATGAAAAGTATCGTTCACAATTTGTACCGAAAGAAATTTTCCGACACTTGCTCCATTATTCCCGCCCTCGGCTTCGCCGCATACGTGAAAATAACTCTCACATGCTCGCCTTCCCTCGTACGTGAAATTTGGTTTTCCTATGTTCTTTGCCCCACTCATGAAACTTGAGCGCGCGCCGGAAAATGCCACTTTCGGTCCTAGTAATGAAATATACTATTCCGACACTTGCTCGATTATTCTCGTCATCGGCTTCACCATACGTGAAAATAACTCAAATTTGGTTATCCTGTGAGAGGCAAACATACTATTTTTACGACAAGGAAAAAACCTGTGTCGATTTTTAAAACATATAAAATTAAGATATGGTTGGGATAGTTACCTTTTTCATTGTTCTCATACAGTTCATATGATTGGAGGCTATCTTTCAGTTTTAAAATTAAATGCTACGTACACGTATTTTACCGATAAGTGCTAAAACGTTTGTAGTACTGGTGTAGTCGATTTCGCGAGTAAAATGTGTACTGATTGGCTAGTCTTTTTATATTTCTATTCTATTACGCAAATCATGAAAAACATTCCTACAACGTTTGAGGTGAACATTTTATATTTTACAATTCAAAAGTCACAAAAGTTTGTAACTAATACAAAATCAGAAAACATTAAAAAATATCATAAAACAATGATAGAGATGGTAATTTTATTCTAATTTTAATTTTAACAAATGAAATAGATTTAATCCGTGCTAATGTGTTATAGTGAAGGTTCACATTTTCCTTATTTATCAAGTGATCAGTTTTATTGATTTAATAGTTTTGTTTGATAATTTGCGACTTAAGAAAAGTTTTACTGGTAAAGTCTAACACCCCCGACACTGAACGCGGTATACTGTCGTCCGTGTTAATCTAGTAACGTTAATGTAAGACTCCACAAAGGCAAAAGAATCTCATTCTTGTGTGAAGTATTAGCGACCTAACGCTTTCTCGGAAAATGCATTTTCCTTCCAAGGAAAGGTTTCAACGTTGCAGTCAGAATTGAATACATCATACCAGTTTTTAATCGTTTAAAGTTTACAAATTGTTTATTTTTTTTCGTTCATTGTAATTGGTATTATTAGTATAAAACTGCACTTCAAAAAGATAAAGGGGGGCGAAAAAACATTGTGGTTTTTAAAAACTATCATTTTCCCTATTAATCTATACATGACTGTATACGTTGTCTAGTTTTCATAGCCACCAACTTCATTATTACGTTTGCAATAATACATTTGGCTTTATATAAGTATTCTTTTATAAAATAAAACTTAGCTTTCTGTTGCCTATTTCTTGGCGAATTTCCCATAAAAGCTATTACCGTAGAACCTGGTCTTACCTAATGTAGTAAGACCTGGATCCGGAACCGATTTACTTTTTCTTTTTGTTGTTTTGATTTGATTTCCCCAGAGGCCAAAACACCATCCGTTCAGATTCTAATGTGTCCGTTACTCGAGTAAAAATGGTCCAATTTTGATGAAATTTGGTACAAACGCGTAAACCTACGTTTAATCGAACAAGTTCACGAACAAGGGTTCGGATTGTACGGAACGGGGTTGTTGATGCATTAACATTTTATTTTTCTCATTTTTTACCCTAAAAACATAGAATTTATAAATTTCTTTCCAAAAAATTTTATAGAGCTCATAAAAAACAAATAATTTAGCATTATGAAGTATTTTTGTCCTGTTAATGGTTATGGAAAAATAATAATTTGAAATTCCTATGTTATTTTGTAGAGAACGAGAAAACTGTCGTAGTTTGATTGTTTATGGATATATGTTTATCAAACTAGGAAAATTTATTTATTAGAAAATAACTTTTTCACTCTCCGTTACAGCGAACCTAAGTTTTGTTAAACCTAATGTTATTTAAATACATATGCATCTTCAAATATTTAAGTGAAAATTTAATGTGGATGGAAATTCCCTTAGTTTAAAGGTTCTGCTGGTGGTGTATACACACGTTTTACACGGCTCTGTATAACTGATCGTTTCAATTTTCAACCTCAGTGTTATAAATAAAACACGTCGATCTATAACGATCAATTCAATTAAATAATGATTGTTTCGTTTTCATACAGGTACTCTACTGAGAAGGGATTTCATTTGCCGGGATGGATTTCCAAGAGTACAGGGTCAGAGGTGAGTTCATAGTGAAATAAATTTTATGTAATTGTAATCCTAAATTTGTTTATCAATAAAAGTACATACACATTTTAAGACAGAACCCTCTCATGGAGCAGACAGGGGTGCGTCAAATTAAGTGGAAAAAAGAATAATTTTGTTGTATTTAGTAAGTTGTTTGAATTTTAATTTTTGAAGTGACTAATACTAACCGTATGAACAGATTTGAGTCTAGATGATTGAGTTGCATTTGGCGATACTGAACGGGAACTAATCCATATACATACTTTATACGGCAAGGGGTTTTCCCGTTACATCAGCAAAAAAATACTAGGACAGTACAGCCATCCTACTGAACTGGTGTTTACGATTGTGGTGTCATTTTAAATCTTATGATCTATCGAACTTGCGAATGGTATTCATAAAGGTTATTTCTCAAGGGCTTCGCCTCCTAGCGTAAAATTTATTTTTGGAGTCCCTTATTTAAGATCAACTAACTTCACAATGGTTTAAATGTGAATTGTAATTTAGCAGCTGTTCCTTCTTCTTTACAATAAATGGCTAAATAGATCTTTATTTTATTGAAAATATTGTTTTTTTCATTATGATTTATAATAAAGCATTTTAGCTTTACACATTTACAATTGCTAGGAGAATTGTATAATTTATCTTTAAGACTAGGCTATTTTCTTTACTGACGCCCGGGAGTAGGCCTACCCTCATTCATACGACTAATAACATACGCTAGCATTTTTTTGGTTAAGTATTAAATACTTTTTCGCATTTACAATTCGGCTTTCTAATAACACTATAACAATCACAAAAACAACAAAGAATCAATAATCAATCACAATTGTATGGACGGTAATTTTTACGCGTACAAATTTCAGGTGGGAATAACATGTTATTAAAATTGGTAGTGGTGAACTAGCAAAGAGACGCCACTTGGGACGTTTTTCCCCATAAGAATAACATGGGGATAATTTTTTAGCCACTAATTCCAAAAATTCTGATCTTTGCCTACAAATCTCTATTTAATTGTTAAACCTTATTTCTTACTTACTTTCCAAGTGGCGTCTCTTTGCTAGTTCACCACTACTTAAATTAATAATCTTATGTTAAAATCAACAGCCCTGTTTAGATTGAAACCAGAATAATCTTAATGTTTGTTAAAGTTCTCTTAAAAAACGGAAGAAGTCTAAACAGCCTTTGGACAGAACAAGTAGGGTCAGACGATTTAATGAAGGGTCCAGTCTACAATATACTAGTCTTTAAGTGAATCTACAGGTTTTTAGTTCATAGCAACTACTTGTTGAATTGTCATGTCAAATCGTTTGCTATTTTTTGTGTGAAGATGGTTATCTACTTTAGGTACGGTGTTATTTACTAGATGCAGTTTTATTCTTTCTATATTGTCAGTATTAGGTGGTGCAGAAACTGAAATTTTTATAATTTAATCCCCAAATTTCAAAAGAAAAAAATGGGTTTCCCCATTTTCATACTTAAGTTCTCGTTGATGGTGTAGACTTTGCATGTAGTATAGTAATTAAATCAAGTTAATCAAACAGTCTACTGGAACCTTTAACTGCTCAAACATTCATAAAAATAATGCTATTAAAGAATTTTAGTTGCCTTAATTGTATGATGTTGTGTTTTTCCTTTTGCAATATTCCGAGGCTTAAAATTGAATTTAATTGTTTATTTTAGCAATTTAATATTAATTTTATTATTATAGTATATAATAATAATAATATAGTTTATAATATTTAAAATATTCAGGAGTTAATACAAAATTATTCATAACCTGATGCCAATATTTATTATTGATTAGAACTGGGAGCAAAACACTGAATCTAAGTCAGTCAAGTAAACCAACTTTGCATATTGTCCCAGACGTGTAAAAGGAACGTAAAATAAGCTGTCAGATAAGCCATAAAGCGTCCAATATACAAAGACTGGGTTTCCAATGGAAATGAGACGTTTTACATGCGTTTATTGTTGCCTTTCCTATTGGAACTCAGTTGTATTCTTAGAGTAGGAACAAATTTGTTGATAAAGTCACAAGTATTTGCAGGTCTATGAGGGCTTCTAACCTTTGATTACTGCTAAAGAAGCCCGGTAATCAAAAATTGTGAAATAAAAGATTAGATTTTTAAAATTAAAAAGGTTAGATATTTTATTTATAAGATTTTATTTTGATTGTAAGTCGGTTTTGGATACAGTAGTAAAACCATTAACGAAGCTAATAAAAATAAATTTAGAGAGAGGTTATAGAGTTTAGGTTATAATAGCAGTTCAACAGTAATTTGTAAATTGAGAAAGGAATAGCGTTAAATTTATTGTTCTTCAATAGGAAGAAATGCACGTATATAGGAGCTTGGGGCAAGAGTGCGCACTTAAAGTTTAACCCCCCAACATATGGGTCAAATGATTAACAATTGAAACAAAACTAATAGTAAGCAATTGTATGTTAGTTGGTAACCAAACGACATTTTATTTTTACAATTATCATTAATGTAAGCCTATCACTTATAAAACAATAATGTTATGAAAAGTTACATTTGCAAACTCTTGCCCCGTGGGTGGGGAAAGAGTTCGCACGTAATGGGGCAAAAGGACGCACATTGTTAAAAAAAGCAAGCAAGACATACTGAAACAGATGTTATTAGTAAAAACACCGATTCACTTAAATACTACAAAACAATTTAAGTTTAGCACGTTCTTGGTGAAAATTAGTTTTTTTTAGCAGTAATCACAAGTGAATTTGCTCCCATCCTCATAATTTGAACAAGAGTCATGCACTTGCATGAAGTCAGTGCATTGAATCCAGTCCTCCTTTTGCGGATTTTCTGGACGGATAATTTTTGTACTTGATGTCCTTGGTTTTTGAATTGTTCTTTTCCTTTAGAATTTCTTCAACGAGGTGTGAACACTGAAATAAATGTTTGGGGCATATGAACTCTTGCCCCAACGGCAATGCGAACTCTTACCCCACATCGTAAAATTACAGATATATTTTTAAAATATATTATAGTATTAATCGTACTTGCGTGAAAAGGATACATAATTTTATTTTAGATTCGAATATAAAGTTTTTTTGAGGCAAGTCATTAATCAAGGCTTGTTTTTATTTATACATTTATTGAATCGCAATTTCAAGCATACTAAGCAAACGAGCGTTCATGACACCAGCCGCGAACATTTCAAAATTCCAAATAAATGAATATAGATGGATGAACGTTCCTTGGATCGTAAATAAATAGTAGACAGATTACTTGTTGGATGTGGAAATGTGAGAGCATTGGAAACAACTTTGTAAGGATGCTGGTGTTCTCTGTACCATTCCTTAAACAGGCCAAAAGGAGTAGCATAATCCGACTCGAGATTATGAAGTCCTGTAGGCTCCTCGGTTTCTGGTACTGTCGTCTGAAAAAAGATACTATTTCGAATTTTCTTTCTAAAATACCAACACCCATGCATAATTTTAGACATACATACTTATTGTTAACAATATTTCAGGATTGGTTCGGTATAATTTATTTTTTTAACAGAGCTATAGACTGACTAACGAAAGAAAAGGATTTGGCAAGGTCTTTGCCAATGAAAAACGTCAAAGTCAGTCTATTTTATATAGATTTATTTATAAACATTGTTTGTAACAGCCCTTGGATTGCTATATTCACCAATAAGGGACAGTAATGTATGCAATGCATAGCTAAAAATTATTTTAGATTGATTTTTTTAAATATTTTTTATGTATTTCAATATTTTTGTATTAATTTAAGAGTATTAATTTGTATGGGCATATCCCTAATTTTCACCCCTTTCATAACCATTTTAAACTATATTCCTTTCAACGCGATGTTTTAAATATTTTTTCAAGAGTTACAAACCGGTTAGTATAACACTATAATTGTATCGTAAATAGATCGATTAAAAATACACGAGTTCCTGGCTATGTAGGGTTTTCTCGGATATATTTTACAAAATTACATACTGTTGTCATGACATTTTACATTTTGGTATTTAAAGAAAATGTAAACATTATCTTAGAAGCTAAAGAAATCTTTCTAAAAAGAATGAGATAGCAGGCAATTTAATTAGCATAGATGCAAAAGGGAACAAAGGCCGGCTCTGAGGTGAAATGCTCCAGCAGGGGGGGCGTCCAGCGCCCGCACTCTCTGATAGGCTATGTGGTGGTAGTCACCTAGAACCATCGGTCCCCCGGCTAGACCACTGGAGCCCGGCTGTATATATACCGCTGCTCGAAGACGCAACTTACCTGCGAGAACCGAATGGTTTATGCTTCCATAACTACTAGGTTCTTACCATTTTTTTGAAAGAAATTGTTCTGTGGGATTCAGTTATAGTTTATCTACCTGAGATAAACTTTTTTAAATTAAAATATGTATTTAAATTACATTTTCATAAAAAGCTTAATACATGAACTATAAATAGGTAAACTATCAATATAAGCTCCCAAAGTGTAAAGGAAATACAACTCGTTCAAAATATATTTTCCAAATACAGTAGTGTTATTTATAATCACTTTACAGAAGATTGAAGGAATACTTGGATTATAAGGTAAAATTTCTGAAATACATGATCTTGTTTATGTCAATTTACCATTAGGTTCTAAACAATAATTATTTAGAGTTGATAATTTATTATTAATTGCATTTTATACGACTTTTTGGTAAAGCTACCGTTCCCAGCGCCCCTGTTGGCGATCCGAAGAACTACCAACATCCATATGCGTCGGGAGAACCATTGTATCTTCCCCTGTAGGTGGAATGATTATTTTGCTTATGTGGCCTTGAATTATTAATTGTCTGTCAAACATAACTAAAAAATACTCATGCCCAGTATAAAATCACTGGTTTAACATCCAGTGATTTTAGGTTAACTACAGTTTTATTTCTATTACTTAATTGAATGCAGTTTTTCCGTTTCAGTTTAGTTCCGAAACTAAATCAACATTTTGCAAAGTCAAAAATAGAAACCAAAACGTAATCTTTTCAATATAGTTTATGTTCAGAGAATATTTGACACTGTTAAATCTGTAAGTTTTTACTTGCTAGTTTGAATAGTTTTTGTTTTATTAAACTAGACCTAACTTTGTACCTACTTTTGGGACAAAGAAAAGCTTACTAAATTCGTCCAATAAAGTTAACATTTTAGCAATTGTTTGACTTATAGTAAAATTTAATATATTCTCTGGAGGTTATTATGTCAGTATAGAAGAAGTTTTTACCCCTCCGTAAACACTAATTTTGCATTTTCAAATAACTTTCAAAAAATATTTAAAATCTTACAGCGAAAATACTACTGAATTTAGGATCAACATTAAACCTATAAACAAACTTAGTCATATTTCAAACTAAAAAATAGAGTAAATGTGGATGGTAAAACACAACAGGATTCAAACTTGTTTTTGTATTCCTTGATAAGGCGTTATACCGTATTAGACCAATACAAAAATATGGTTTCTGGCACAAAATGATACAGAGATTTTAAATAATCATACTTATAAATTTACGCATCAATTAAATAAATGTTTAGAGAGCAAAACGTATATGTTATAAGACTTAACGAAATCACGTACGTTACCTATGGAATTGCGCTGGTGGACTGGAGTCGTGTGGATAAGACTACCACAGCCCGGTTAACCCTTGATTCCAACTGAAATATAAAAATATGTTTACATGCTTTATTTGAAAAGAGCTTAAACAAACTGAGCTTAATTGCAAAATAAATATTCAGCCAATCCAATAATGTTTTAAGATTAACTGCATTTTCACATGGCTAACATAAGCCATTTTTTGGAGGGTAAACTTATTTAATTGTCTTATGTATCAGTATTGCTAACAACTTACTGTAATATAGTTTTGTTCGTAGGCCTAGCCAAGATGGCTTTTAGAGGGAGTTAAAACGCCTGGGGATAGCCAGGGGTAGCGATATGCGGATAAAATAATATACACAGTTCTCTAATCTTGTATTCCTCGGGTATTTTACAATTACAATATTCTAAAACACCTACGGCTTAGCTGTGTTTAGTTTTTTTACTCGTTGGGTAAAATAATATTTTAAGAAAGGGGTAAAAAAAACAATAAAACAATTAAAAAAAGTTTTTACATGTAATGAGCTGCTGCTCGCTTTGGCCATTAATGGAACTAAACTAACATGGCTATAAGTAGAGCATTAAATTGCCATTTGAACTATATAGGATTGAAACGATTGTTGCAATAACGTATAATAATTCCCAAATTCTTTAATATTAGATCAAAATAACGGTAAAATTATCTTACCTCATTGTGAGAGGAATAAACAGAGAGGAACCATCAAACTACGGAGGAATGGCGAGGGTACTGTCTTGCATCGGATGAGACTTGGTGGTACCAACTAGCTCAAGCGCAAAGTCAAGATTTCCGCTCTGCGTAGTCTTTATACCCCGTGCGTACTCTTGCCCCGAGTTACCCTACTTAAAGTACGATATGGGATTTATTTATTTATTCTCCACGGCAAACACCATTTTAAAAACAATACATTAATCCAATTCAATACATTAGCAAGCAAACAATAGCAAAAGTAATTCTAAGGTAAGGTAGCATATTCGAGCAAAACAAACTGTGATGAAATAAAAATTTGAAGAACTGAGCAAAAACTCGGAAACTTTTTTTTTCTTAGCCCTTAAGGCTTAAGGCTTGGATAATTACTCCACGAAGCCTATTCGATTTCTGATGTTGACTATTACTCACTGAATTCTTCTGTGGTTGTCTTTGTGCATTTGCCACTTTCTGTAATAAAGGATAGGTTATGTTAGTTATACAGTTAACATTTATGTGAAAGTTTCTGTTTTTCTTTTTGATTTTTAGTTATTTGTTCACATTTGTATTAAAGAGGGATACATCTAATGATTAGGGTTTGGTAGGATCTAAGGTAAAGGGTGAGATATCTTCTCGGCCAGGGGTCCATCAGGCCTTTACCTACCCCGAAAAGGAGGGGGGACCTCGGATAGACGAACCTTAGGCAAAGGGAGGGTGTTGTGTAAATGTAAATTTATTGTGTGAAATGAGCCTTTGTTGTCTTCATATTCTTCTTTTTATAACCTTCAGAAAGGTATTTATTTCTTTGTATATTTGTATATCTTCACTTGCCAATATTTTCCTCACTTTTTCAAAGGTATTGTCATTAGGAAATTTGTTGATTCTCCTGAAACATTGTACTCTTGCGAAATCATAATGTGGGCATTCAAGCAAAAGATGTTCTATGGTTTCTGAGACACCATTGGTGCATAGTATACATAAAGGTGTAAAGTATCGTTTGATTTTGTGCAAATGTTTATTCACATTTGCTATACCAATCCGTAGTCTAATGATATTAATCATTTCAGACCTAGTCATTTTTTGCCAAAGTACCAAGGTCTAAGCTTACTATTGCTTTGTATTGTTCTGTACCAGACTGCCTTAGTTGAAACTTGTAACTGGATGTTTCTTTGTTTTAAGAGTATTTTTTTCTGATATGCTTTTAAGTCCGAAATTGGTAAGTATATGTCTTTAACTTCTGTTTCCTCGGTAATAGCTTGTTTGGCAAGTTGATCAACAGTCTCATTATGTTTTAAACCAATATGACTAGGAATCCATTGGAAGGCGATTTCTTTCTCAGATAGTAGGCAATTTCTAATGATTTCTAGACACATGTTATCTTTAACTAAGCCATTTTTCATATTCTAGAGAGCTTTTATTGCAGATTATGAGTCACTGCAGATGAGAATGCTATCTTGTGGGATTTCTTTCAGGATTTTGGAGCATTCGAAAAGGGCAAACTGTTCTGCTGTGTATATTGAAGAATTTAGAGGTAATTTAAACTTTCTCTCTAAATTCATGAGAGGAATCCAGATTGCTGCTCCTGTACCGTCTGTTGTTTTTGAGCCATCTGTGAATATTTTCAGAGAGTCTTTATGTATCTGGTTCAGTGTATTGTGGGCCACCTGGTGAAAAGATATCTTAATGTCAGTTAATGGGGGATATGTATCCCAGTCTAATGCCCTAACATGGTCCGAGTTGGCTTCCAAATAACTCAACAATTTGGTTGAACTGACGAATTGAAGTAATCGCCTTGATATACAGTGGTATATTTTGGTGTCTCCAATAAGGGTTTGTATTTGTAAGGAGTTGCAAGTATAGGCATTTGTATCTGTTTCCACTCGAGTCATCTGTCATTGTTTTGTAGATTAACCGTTCGGTTACAATTTCTCTACGATCAGCTGTGGTTTCCATTGCAGTTTCATTTTGTAGGGCAATGATTGGGGTGAACTTGCCTGAGGCTGTTGCAATTCTTAATGCTTCATTCTGTAGCGTTTCAAGTTTGTACAGCAAAGTGTTTGGGAGGTGACCTAAAAGGAAAGAGCAGTAATCCATCTTAGATCGTATTAGGCTTCTATAAACATTGAGACGGAATTCCGGATTTGCTCCATTTCTTTCCGCATGAAATCATTTTGAGAATGTTCATGTCCTTGTGGCATTGTACTAATAATTTATTTACGTGAGAGTTGAATTTTAATTTGTTGTCAATTGATATTCCTAAAAGTTTCAAATTATCTACAATAGGTAGGGGTTGGTTTTCCAGTTTGAGTTTGATTTTGGAGCTATCTGTATTTCTCTTTCTACTAATTATCATGGATTTGCATTTCTCGGGACTTAAATGGAAGTGCATCTCGTTCAGGGTCTATATTTGTTAGGGCATTTTGGGATTTTTAAGCTGTTTCTTCTAATTTTTTTCCAGATGAGTACACAGTGATGTCGTCAGCATATTGTAGGGAAACTACACCATATGGTAGGGCTTCATTTATTTCTGCTAAGTACATAGCGAATAAAAGTGGGCTCAACGTACTGCCTTGCGGTAGGCCTCTGCTGGTTGATCTACCAATTATCTAACTTTTTATGGGCATGTTTAAAGTTCTATCTACAAGCCATTTTTGGCAGTGTATAATGAAATAGAAATAATTAGAATGGGAAATAGAATAGAATTTGGTGAGTCGACGGCTCACTCGGTAGTACCATGGACTTCGTAGCGATGTCGTGGGTAGGATCCTGGTGTATTAATATTTTTTATCAGTACAGTTCACCCTTGTACTTAAATGGCTCATCCCTTGCTTTGTTGGATACGTTCCACGCACAGGCCGAAGGCCTATGAGGACGAGCAAATGCAAGGTTAAAAGAGACCCCAAACCTTTAATCTTTAAAAAATATAATAAGATCATTTTTTAAGTTCAATTCCCTTCCTAAAAAATATTATAGACTATATATATATAAAAAACTACCCACTTTCAAGAACAAAAGTTGGTGAAAAATACAGTTTTTGAAAGAGAATGTATTATGAATGAATACCTTTAAGGTTTACGACATAAACTTCGTTTTACTGATCATAGAAGTTTTTACTTAACAAAATCGTACAATTAATAATGGGATGGTATTTAAATTGACATAGAAAAAAAAATATGAATTTATTTATAATAATTATCCAAATATAATTAATAATAGTTCAAATAGCCTAATATTCATTTTGATTTCGATTTTCTAAGTATTTTCGTTAAAAATTCTAATTGTCAGAGTATTGAACTAAATATTAATAGGTCGTGTTAGTGTAAAAACAAAACTTTAGTTTTGTGTACTACTGTACTACTAACCTGACAATGCGATAATTTTCGAAACGGCCGCGTCGTGCAGTATCACATCTGATTGTGAAGATGGTAAGAATTACATATACTTTTATATTAATAATAAGTTCCTTGTTGAATGGATTTTTCAGGTAAGGAGATGGTGGACTACATAGCGGATTACCTAGAGAACATCCGGGACCGGAGGGTGTATCCGGCAGTCAAGCCAGGGTACATCCGGGAGTTGGTGCCGGCACACGCCCCTCTGGAGCCAGAGAACTGGGACACCATCTTCGGTGACATTGAGAGAGTAGTCATGCCAGGGGTAGGTAAATGTAATAGTTGAGATATCTGGGTAATCTTGAGTATGGTTCTTACTGTAGCAAACATTTTATAAAGTTGGAATACTTATAGAGTTTACATTAACATAATTATTGTTAGTCAGGTGAAACATGGTACTTCAATCCCCTTAATAACTTTGATAATTGATATAATACAAGAAACCTTCATAAATTCCAAATTAATGGGCGTAAAATATATCCAAACAAAATCAATACAGTTCGACGAAATTGCTTCAAACAGTCAAACAAAATTCCTTAACCAATTACCAGTACAGTATAAGTTAAAAATAAATTTATGGTACTAAATTTAAGAAAGCTCAAAAACTTCATTTATGAAAAAGGTTTCTCCGCTGTTTCAACAATCTTTGCTATAAACAATAAATTGCGGGGTTTTCAAGGAATATTTGTATTTTATTTTCTCATACAACTATTGTATTGTTTTTATTTTACATATATATTCATTTTACATAACTGTGTTATTCACGCCCTTCAAATTTGACAACCATTAATGAATAAAAAGTTAAGTTTTGTGACTCCTGTAACCAGTTTTAAATGTTATATAAAACGAAATAGTCATATTATAAGCAGCTTAATTTCTTTTATACACTTGATCCCTGTTAGCCTAGTTTGACAAAAAAATATGTAAAAAAATTAACCCAAGATAAAACAGTCTAAATTATTTTAACTTTTCAAATACTCTGAAAAATGCACTCTGCCAGCATTAAAATGGTCAAAAGTCAATATTTATTCTCTCTGTTTGGACAGTTTCATTTTACGGAGGGCTAGAAAAAGTAAATTAAAAAAAAATTCTTTCCATAGCTATAAATTAGTCAGTCATGTTATGATAAGCAAATTGGAATTATTTTATTCACCGTAATTTTAACATTTTGAAAGTGAGAATCAAGAATTGTAATAACATTGTAAATATTTCAGGTGACACATTGGCAAAGTCCCTACATGCACGCTTACTTCCCGGCGCTCAACTCTATACCTTCGTTGCTGGGGGACATGCTAGCCGATGCTATCAACTGTTTGGGATTTACATGGGTCAGTTTGAATTTTATAGCCACTTCCCAGGATTACGAACTCGTAATTTGAATACAATTGCTGTATGGTTTTTATAAACGAGCGTATATATACGTCAACGATGCTATTCAGTTGCGAGCATTGGACGTATAGGCCTATATACGAACTCAATCTGAAGGTCACAAGTGTACGACACATATATACGTCAAAATATGACAACGTCATTTATATAAGTATTTTAAAGTTGTTTTTTGGCCGTCAACAGTTACTACAGGTGTGCTGATATGATTTTGTGGTTGTACAGTATACTGTAGGTATTTGTGTTGACCTCTGGTATGTGTTTTTTGCATATCAAAGATTAGCTGGTATTAGTATGACATTCCCTTGAATGTGAGTCATATAATGGGAGAATCAGAATCATAATTTCTTTATTGCAAAAGAAATGTATATATATATATATATTTCAAGGCAAAAGTCACTAAAACTAAATTTATAAAACATAAAAACTAAAACTAAAAAGTTATAAATAAGAATACAAACTTCTAGAGGTACATATTATATGAGGGTGTGTTGACCTCTGGTTTGTTTTTGCTAAGTAACATTTGATAATTACAACATTATTGTGAATAAAAAAAAATATGAATGAAATGATTACCTACTTTATCACTTCATACAGTTAATAATTTGTAAAAATAACACAAAAAACGTACCATTCGGCAATTCAGAACTAACTGCTTCAGTATACCTAAAAACCATTTTTCCTGAGAATTTTATTTAAAAGTACAAAATCTTTGTTAATTTCGGAAAATATATATCTTAAGTGTACAAATTATCAAATTTATATTGCTTTGCACTTAATTGCAAGTAAATATTGGTAAATATAAACGCAAAAAACTTAATTTTGTGCAGTTTGGAACAGCTTCATTAGGCCTAAGAAAACCATCTTCTCCCAAGAACTTTGTTTCCATTTACTAATGTTTTAAAACAAATAGTTTTAATTGTAATATATAATTGTCAATTTTATAGCTGGTTACAGTCAACAATAAGTAAATATCGGTAAATATAACGCGAAAAACGTAACGTTCGGTTGTTTGCAACTGCTTCAGTAGGCCGAAGAAACCAATGTTCTCTACAGAATATCGTTTCAAAGTTCTAAATCTTTGTGAATTTTGAAATATATAAAATACATATATATATTTGGTTAGTTGGCAGATTTCATGACGTCACGTTTCAACCGGGTGGGGGGAGGAGGTTATCCGGAGGGTAGTATTCCGCATCCCCGGGTAACAACGAACGATCGCGGTCTTCAGGATTTCAAAAAAGCACCTGCTTTGTAGTAACTACTGTAATATTGTGCTGTCGTTTCCGGAGCGCATGGAAAGAGCCCAAAATTTTAATCCCCAAAAAGGTTCACTAATCTTAAGCATGGAAAGAGCCCGGGTCTCCACAGGTACCTGAGGAGGAGGAAGCTGACTATAAATTGTGTGTGTATATATAGTAGTGTTTTAGTAAATAGTGTTGTGTTTGGTTGGGTTAGGTTAGGTTAAGTTAGGTTAGGTTAGGTTGGGTTAGGTTGGGTTAGGTTAGGTTAGGTTAGGTTAGGTTAGGTAAACAGACTATATCTTAGTAATGTAAATATCTTTGAATAATATATATTTTATTAATGTATCTTTTAAAAGTGTATCTTTTAATATTGTAAATAATTTCATGTAATTCAACTGTGTTATTTGTTCTTTATATTTTGAAGACCCGTTGTGAAAGTTCTAAAAAGAGACCGGGCTCTTTTCGCACCATCCTGGTTGGGACCTTGGAGGTCCGGGCGCTTTTCAAGCGTCTGCCTGAGTTTTTGGGCTCTTTTCATGTGCGCCCGTCGTTTCGGCCTCGTTACGGATAAGTATATTCAGGTCAGTAACGAAGACTTGACTGATGAGGCTATCGTCAGCACAATATTGGTTATGTCCCACGGTTCTCCCCCTGAGCCTCGCAATTGTTTTATCAGGCGAGGCCGTGGAAGTCCTACTCATACCAATGCACATATCCTCTGCTTATGACAGTATCCATTGTTACTTGACAAACTAGACATACACCTATATAGCTAGTTGAAAATATATATCTAGTAATTTATGAGCATCTATTAGCACATGGTCAACATTAATTTAAGTCAACACCAAACCACTAAGATACTGGAAAGAGAACACTTTAATGCATTTAAACATGTTATTATAATAATCTTTTTAAGTACCTTAAGTTAGGTTTCATTTCAATTCCCATTTCAATTTGTTCACAAATTTTCAAACCAGAATTTTATATCTTTCTATATGATTCTTTTAGGCTTCCAGTCCTGCGTGCACAGAACTAGAGACGGTCGTGATGAACTGGCTAGGAAAGATGATTGGTCTTCCAGAGGAGTTTCTACACACAAGGAGTGATAGCAAGGGAGGAGGTGTTATACAGGTAGGTTCCTGTAAATTACTTTACACATGCAAGTATCGTACAAATTATCGCATTCTCCTTTAAAAGAAGTTGAAAGTTTCGCGAGTAACGGAGTCAGAACACCAGACTGTTATAAGATGGGTTCATAAAAAAGTAAAATAGTGGTTGGGCTGTGGGTGGAGGATGGTGGAGGATTACCATTGTTTTATATATAGTTTGTTAACATTTGTGGGGTTTGTATTCATTGTCCGCAGGTAAGTCCCATCCCCGAACACCTTCGTTACTTCAACAAGGTCATCTAGACGGTTGTTGGATGAAGAATATAATAGGTTACGTGTACGATTTTTCCGTCTTCAGTCTTCTAATATAAGTAGTCTATGGACAGCTAGTTTTGGGTCAAAGATCTATTTTCATATTCATATCAAATTGGCTGATCCATTAATACGAGTCTTCGTCAATACATAAATTCACGTCGACACATAAAGTTCACATAGTATTTTGGATGTTAGATGTTGATGTTTGAAACTAGCCTCGTCAGATATTTGAATATTCGTGGGCCCTCACTCCTGAATCCTAACCTCTCTTAGCCCCCAGCTTAGCCCATACACACAGAGAACGTTACGAGCAAGGCTATGGTCAAGCAGGCTAAAAAGAATGTCCTGTCCTATCTAGTATGCTATAATCCTTCAATTTCCGTTGCTCAATTAGTTAAATTAGTATATTTTGCACACGTAGTAAATTATTGTGGCATGTGTGCACTTAAATCGATATTATAGCTTCTCTTTCCCCAATTTGAGCTTTACATTAACTATACTGCTTATTATTCGCCAATATATAGAGCAGTTTGAGCAGACATTGCGTAATGCATAGCTGTGGTGACTGAGTGGTGATAGTGCTCGCCTGTCAATCAAAAGATTGCTGGTCCAATCCTGAGTCGGTGGCTTGTTCATGGTTCGAAACTGGACCCTGCTTTTCTTAATTGGTTTTGTATGAATGACATTAGTTTTGTATAAATGGGCCTTGCTAAAAAAAAAAAAAAACAGGTCCCTCTGGCTAGTAACCTCCAAAATTGTCTCGCTTCATTCTACTATCATTTTGGACCCTTATTCACTATTCAGCAAAAATTTAGCTGAATAGTGAATAAGGGTCCAAAATAAGGGTCCATTTAATGATAGTGTTGTTTTTTTTACTTGATTTTATCCCAATGACTCCTCCTCGACTGTTCCTCTCCGCCTGACCCTGTTGGCTATTATCTCCTTCTTGATCAATTCCCAGGCTTTGCCTTACTATTTAGTTTCTTCTATCAATGTCCATTTCCATGTATTTCTGAGTCTACCCCTGCTTCCAGTGGAATACCATTCCATTGCTTCCTTTGCTACGTCTCCATTTCCCTTTGGCAAGGAGGGCCGTACACTTTCCTTCTTTTTACTTCAACTCGCTCCGAGCGGACTTCAACCCAAACCGGAGCGGACAGCGGGAAGGGGGTGAGTGATATAACCAACGGCAGCGGTAGGGTACGTGGCGGGAATGGGGTGGTCCACACCGAAGTGGCTGGCAGAAGAAAGCGGAACGTCACCTGAGTGCATTTTCAGCCTATGTTTAGTGAATGTTTGTGTTTAATGAATGTTTATATTATTGTGTTTTATAAGTTCAAGTTATGAATCTGTGGCCATAAGAAAAAAGTTCTGAGGCTTTAGGAAAATGTTAGCAACATCTGAGGAAAAGATGAAGATGGAAGAGAGTGGTCCACTTGGGTTCATGAAATTTATCAAACTAGAAATTTATTTAGCGAGTCTTACCCTAATGCTGAATCTAAGAAAAGACGAAAGGCAGTTTTGTATTTGTTTTAGAATGACTATCGCATGTTTTCATCAACTCCTGGATTTGATAAGAGAGGTACAACAGCATATGAGCCATGTGGTCCCGCGGCGGTGGGAGTGGGAAAATCCAACATGTTTTAAGAAAATGTATAGTTCCTTAAAAAAATAGATTTTTAGGTGTGGTGTTGATGTACCAAATCTTATTGATTTATCTGTTGTCGTTTAGAAAATATTAAGCCCGTGCGGGACTTTATATACACCCTGTATTTACGTTTGATACTGTTACTCACAAGACGGTAAATACAGGGTGAGTTTCTACTAAGTGCGTTAATTTTTACCAGTTATTCTACTCACCAAAAGGAACAAAAAATGACAAACAAAAATGTTCTATCCCCACCCGTTATGCTGTAATGGTCGATTATGTGAATTTTAAAAATTACCTGTAGTAGCTTCACTAAAACAAGCATAGAAATTAAGCCAATACACGTACAGCATAATAACTTATACCAATGAAAAGAGCGTTAAATTTCCTACAAAACCATTGCACCACCTTTAACATACAACCATATTTTCACCGTTGTATGTCTCACATAACATAAAAAAAGAAGTTTCAAAATTAATTCTTTACAACTTCAAAGTGGTTTTACAACTATACATACTAATGTGATGTTTTCTCAAATTACGTAAAAAACCTTTTCCATTTAATGCCCTTTAAAATTATGTAACCCATAAGGTTATTGCTGTATTAAAAGTTCGAAAAATTAGGTCAAAACCGCGTCAAGGTCAGAGTTTTCGGAATCAAAACATTGAACCAAATGTAATACAGTATCTGTTAATTTCTTTGCTATCTTATAATCAGCTGACATCTGATCAGCTGGGTGTTAAACGTTGTTTACAAAACCAGCTGATTTCAATTGTTGGCTTGTAAACATTCATATTATTAACTATTTCATGAACATACTTGGAAAATATTACAACTGTTTAGTGCTATGTCGGTGTTCACCAACAAAGTGTCTTGATATGATTTTATTTTCCGGGTTCTGTTCTCAAATGTGGCTGTAATCTGGCGTGAATACAGTCGTCAGTTTCCTAATAGGTGACTTTCAAATGAACGAATATTCATCAGTGTCCATACAAGTTTCCATGGGCACTAAACATCATTCTGTTGGGAACGTGATACAAGATTGTGCATGTGTTTAAGAAGCTGTGTCAGATGTGTTGGGGTGGTTTGAGGACGATCCACGGACAAGAACGAGGACAGTTTCACGCGAATTTACATTGGAAATACTTTCCTAATGTGGATTGGAAGAGGCGGATCAATTGCTTGGCCACCACAGTCACCAGACTCCAATGGACTACTAAGCTTGAGGTTACCTCAAACAGGAAAATTACCGAACACTATTTACTTCAAACAGCGAATGAGCTAAGAAATCGGACTTAAGCTTCCAACCTTCTTGAAGAGGAGCTAAAACTAAAGGCAACAGTGAGAAACTTTCGGAAAAGACCATATTTATGACCACATGTATTAGAGCAAAAATGGTGGACATTTTGAAAACTTACTTTGATTAAAAATCCAGAAACCAGACTCTACAGGATTCATTTTGTTTATTTGTACAAATGTACTAACCTCGATTTTTATCAAATTTATTTTGAATTTTTGTTATAGAATTATAAAATAATGAAATAGTTAATAATTTAAATATTTACAAGCCAACAATTGAAATCATATGGTTTTGTAAACAAAGTTTAACACCCAGCTGATCAGATGTCAGCTGATTATAAGATAGCAAAGAAATTAACAGATACTGTATTACATTTGGTTCAATGTTTTGAATCCGAAAACTCTGACCTTGACGCGGTTTTGACCTAATTTTTCGAACTTTTAATACAGCAATAACCTTATGGGTTACATAATTTTAAAGGGCATTAAATGGGAAAGTTTTTTACGTAATTTGACAAAACATCACATTAGTATGTATAGTTGTAAAACCACTTTGAAGTTGTAAAGAATTAATTTTGAAACTTCTTTTTTTATGTTATGTGAGACATACAACGGTTGAAAATATGGTTGTATGTTAAAGGTGTTGCAATGGTTTTGTAGGAAATTTAACGCTCTTTTCATTGGTATACGTTATTATGCTCTACGTGTATTGGCTTAATTTCTATGCTTGTTTTAGTGAAGCTACTACAGGTAATTTTTAAAATTCACATAATCGACCATTACAGCATAACGGGTGGGGGTGGAAAATTATTGTTTGTCATTTTTTGATCCTTTTAGTGAGTAGAATAACTGGTAAAAATTAACGCACTTAGTAGAAACTCACCCTATACAAAAAAAAGATGGTAAGTGGTTATTTATCTACATTCGCCTATTGGGTCTGATGATGATTGGAGTGTCCAATCGAAATCGATCACCACTTACCATCTTTCATATATATACACATCCGCATACACATATACACTAGTTATATTTAGTCTTGTGAGTAACAATATAAGCGTAAATATATGTTTTAAGTTTTATAAGACGTTTCTTTTTTTTTTACTTTCCGTTATTTATTTACAAAAATACAAATTGTTTGTATTAATCTTTTATCTGTTTCAGTCTTGTTAGTATTACCTAGTTCTCAACTGCAAAGCTGAACTAGGCTATTGATATAATGAGTATATTTATAAAAATGAATCAGTATAATTAAAAGAAATCCCCAATCATAATTATTTATGTATATAGTGTGATAAATCGAAGTTTATGATTATCAATACAATATTTATTTACCAAAAAGAATTGTAAAAGAACAGTTAGTTCATAGTGATCGTTAATAACGTAATGAACAAGAAAATTTCGTCAACGTTATCAATCACATCTATTGAAGTTTTATAATGATCGCCGTTAAGAATTTGTGTTGTTAAATTTACAATAGTATAATGTGATGTGTTAAACAATAAGGAAAGTGTAAAAAAAGAATGTAAATATTTTCCAGTTATTACGTAGTATCATGCATTATGTAATTATTATTCATGTTATGAATTTGTCTTTTGAATCGAAGTGTAGCTTACATAGGTAAAATATTGAGATCATTAAGTCTGTTAATAGTTGTTATAATAGGCTTACAAGATTTCAGAATTCATATAATAACTTTGGCAAAGGTTTAAGCTATGAATAAAAGCTACAAATTTTACGAGTATTTGCAAATACATAGAGATATATTATTCAATCAAACCTTTTGGAGAAAATCAAGTAAACACTGCTTACTACTGTGATAATCTGGAAGTTTACTATGTTATAAAAATGCTGCTCTTATGTACAGTAACAAATAAGTACACTGTTGAATAAAGTCCTTGTTCTTTTTAACGAGTAAAAGTATATCTCTTCTCAAATGTGTTTGACAGGGAAACGTCCCTATGTTGAGACGGCTGTTAAAAACGAATAAGTCAACATTTTGTGAATCTCAAATTCCTTAACATAATTCATTTGAAATACTTTGCACACATTTTAGTAGATTTCCCTATAGGGAAGTAGTTATTACTGTAGGTATGGTACGTGCAAGGTAAGACCTAGACCCGGGACCAATTTACATTTACATTTTGATGTCCCCAGAGGTCAGAAACAATATTCTTTAAACAGTTTTTGATGAAATTTAAGAAAATGTGTTGAACGGAATAAACATAAATGAGTTCATGAACCAGCAAGATTCTGTAATGGAAACAGGATGTTAAGAGGTTTTGATGTTTTTCAAAATTTGTTTTATTTTATTTTTACCTTTAAAACATGGACATGCATAGCTTTCCTCGTGTAGCGCTTAAATAAAAATGATTTATTGTGTATATTGAAGCGTTGTTGAATGATTAAAGGTTGCGGAGAAAATTAAAAAAACAGCACATTTAAAAATGTCTGATGACCTAGCCTGTAGGTTTGCGGTCGGGGTAATTCAACCCTGTAGATCGTAGAAGATGCCTAATGTGTGTTTCTGTTTGCAGACTACAGCGAGTGAAGCCACGTTTATATCACTACTGGCTGGTCGGACCACGGTCATCCAGAGGTACAAGGAGGTCGACCAAGGGCTTGAAGACGCGGAAATCAACAGTCGCTTGGTTGCTTACTGCTCCGACCAGGTACATCAATTAGGGCAACTACGGTCGAAATAAGTTGATAAGTTAATTGTAGTAGCTACTCTCAACATAAGTGGGAGAATTAATTGGTTTTCACAACTGAAGGAGTCAAAATGTCACTTTCAAAAACCAGTTAACTATTTTAATAAACAAGAATTCGAATTTGTTTGTTTTATATTCACTGGGATATATAATGAATGCATTTCCAACAAAAGATGGATTATGTTAACCTGTAGACACTTTCCTAAGTCAGACATCCTCCACCATATATCCTGTCGTTTAGTTTTGCAATAAAAATGTTGGTAAAAATTTCCACTAGGATTGAAGGCCGTTTCAGATAACTAACCTATATAAACACATTCACTACCAAGTCACACAAGGTCCCTCAAACAGATGAGTGTGACGGCTGGTAACAATGTGTTAGCCAAAAGAGACAGAATAAAAAAAATTTTGGTTTAGGCTCACTCATCGGTGGAGAAAGCTGGTCTGATAGGCCTTGTCAAGATGAGATACATAGAGAGCGATGAAAACCTCAGCCTTAGAGGGGACCGACTCAGGGAAGCCATCGCCAGGGACCGAGAAAAGGGACTTGTGCCGTTCTTCGTAAGTTATTGTCAGTTATTTTGTTAGAGATAAGATATTACCGTAGGTTTAAAAAATAGACCCAAATCGGTTTACTTTTTCGTTTTTATGTCCCCAGAGCCTAAAATCACCATCCGCCTAAATTCATAAATTAGTTATACACTAGAAAACCCGTGCGGCTCAATGAGCCGCATAGTATGAAACATAACGCCGAGGAAAACGTTACGCTTGAATTCGAGTAATTCTAGTTACATCTTAGAGTTGTTTAAACACTTGTTTGAAACTAATTTTAAATATCTGTATTTGCGTCGTCAAGGCTCACCAACATTATTTCTGCTCTCAGTTTTAACTGATAACTAACTTCTAATGAATGCTGAACGATCTGCTTCAATTCAAGTTAACATGGTGCTAAAAGTTTTTCCAGCTTTGAGAATTGAAGAAAACTATTGCCTTACTGATAACCTGTGTTTAGGTCATTTTATTTCTTTGATTTGAGACATCCCCCTAGTAAAACAAATTTTCTCCGTAGAGAATCCTGTAAAGTGGGAGTGGGGTGATACAATATCAACCATTTCATGTGCTCAATTTTTTACCCAAAAAACTCCAAGTTACCAGCTGGACAGCCATAATCTGCTTTGAATAGGCTAAGGCAGCAACACCTTTGAAAGTTGGTTAACATATTTTAACGTGTTGTCTGTCAGTCACAGTATATGCCCCGCATCAGAACGTTCTCACGTTGTTCAGTGGAGTTTCTCTTAATACCTGTCCACAAGTTTTGAAAGTATCATGGATTCATTTGTCGAAATAGGTTGGATAACTCTTGTAGCTATAAGATTTGGATAGCAATTTTCATTTTCTCTTTTTGAACAACATATATTATTTGCCTCTCCTGAATCATTAAAATAAACTTGACCGTAACTACTCGATCGTTGACTACATAAACACTAATTCCTTCACTTATGTTTGGTCTAATATTGCCACTAAAACTTTCAATAGCAAATGAGTTTTGAAACTTCTTATTTTTGACTTGAAATGTCTGGATTGTGTTGGTGAATTAAGTCAAAAAACTTTGTATAAGTTTGTCCGAGGAACTGGAAACATAACCTAGAAGTGAAACAATCCATTTGCGTTTTTCTCAATTGAAGTAGAACGAGTAATGCAAAAGTTAACAATAAAAACATAAGGTCCACCAAGATTTGGTATAATATTACTACTTGAACTTATCATAGTCAAGGCATTATTATAGTTTCTAATAATTGTTTTGAAATATTTCGATCTTTCAGTGTCAGAAGTAAACATTTCTTGCATGCATTCATTTCATCTGACATTAGGCAAGTTTACTTTTATACCACCGTGACAAAACTATGTGCTTCGTATATTTTATCACTTACAAAGTAAGTTGCATAGCAGAGCAGGCAAATATTATTCATCTCACCAAGTGAATGTGTATCTGGATGGGTATCTGTTAGACCAGGCCTCTCTTTTTCTACTCTCCTCATACGCATAAGATATCTTATTATTAATTGTCTCATCCTCCCGTTTTCAATATTTCATCTTTGAACTTGAGGCATTTTCTGTTCTTCCAAATAAAACTGATTAGGTAACTGTTTAACTTGGTCTTAACCTAATGAATATTACAAACATTAATGTTTACTCCCAAACAGCTAATGAGTTTCTTTTAATCAGATGTTTTTTTGTTTTTAAAATTGTTCTATGTATTTCTTATGGGGAAAACCCGACCTTTGAGAGGGTCTCACGCCCTTAAGAAAAGGAATTTAAAAATCTAAAACCTTATTGCAAAACTACATATTGAGACGAATCTTTTGACACTTTAAACGTTGAAATTGGTCCACAAATAAGGGAGGAGTTGCGTTAACAAAAAACGGCTTCACGTATTATATAGATAGATGTTTCCGATAACTCGAGCAAACTCAACCTCAAAAAGCAAATAATTGATATTGAAGTGTTTTTGTAAATGGTTATAGATAAATTCCAAAAGTTTTTGTCAGTTTAATTCCCATGTTTTTTTAAAAGTAGGCTATAGTAAATAAACTATTGTTGTTTGCTTGTATATAGGCCTAGATATATTTCAATCAAATTTAAAAAATGTATAAATTTTATGTCCATTATTTGCATTTCATAAAAAAATACATTTAATTACCTTCCATGTTAGTACTCGTTAAATTTAAGGTTATTTAAATATTGAACACATTTGACAAATTTAAGGTAATATTTTAGTGCTAATCCAATCAGGTGGAGGGGAATATCCTTTGTCTGCAGATTTGCTGAAGTGCGCGCGGTATTATCGTTGTGTACCATGAATGTAAATGTACCAGTCATTTGATTTTTAAATTACCTAAATTGTCTGTTGCCATAAACCCACTGGACTGTTCGGTGATCTGAAGACAATGAAGGCGATCACAGTGATATTATAGTGCACAAGTCTGGTCTTGAACTAGCAACGGTACCACCAAATTATATTGTTTAAACTATAATTCATCAGCAATCTCACACATACTTTCTATTTTGTCAAAAAAAGACTATAATACAGTAAGACTTGGATAACAAGACCCTTGATAAAAAGTCACCCTTGATAACAAGGCTTATTTTTATTTATAATACCTATAAGAATCTTGCTATCAAGGTTCTACTGTATACTAGATTTTTTATCAAAATCGGTCGAGCAATTTTTTAAAATACGATTGCAATAACTTTTGAACATGCGTGTGGTGGTCTGTAGTTTAGCACACATCCACACGCACACGCATATAGACTTTGAAAACCACTATTTTGGTTCAAGGGGACCCAAAACGGATAGATCCGCCCAAAACTCAAACTCGAAAATGTTAACGAAACAATACTTTTTTCATAATACTATGTTTAGGGGGAGAAAGTAAACATTGATTTAGGCAGCAAGTTTATAACGTACTATTAAAATTGTCTAAAAGGTTCTTCCCTTATTTTTGAAATTTCTTACACCCAAGAAGAACCAAGAGTTTTTAAAATAGTTTAAGTACTGTGCGTTTTCAGGGTATGTATATATAAAATTGTATTATTAATATACTTCCTTATATATTGGATTTTACTAAACTATTTCCATAAACAAGTCATATTTTTTAGTTCCTATTAAATTACATTACATTTAACAAGTATTATTAAAAGGCTTGCTGCTACGAGGAAGGGAAAAAGTGTTTTTGTGATAAAATGTCAATAGTATATGATAAAATAAATAAATTGGCCAAATTTGATTAAAATATATCCATAAAAAAGCAAACTACAAGAGTTAATTTTTTCACCATACGCATAACATAAGATTTAAAAATTTATATTATATATTGTTACGAAAATAGAAGTAAAAGTAAAATACTTTTTATTAAAAGTAAAATATTCTTACGGATTACAATAGGTAGCCAATAATAATATAAAAACTAATTTTATAGCTAAAAGTTTACAAACTAAATTTATGAATTATAATATATATATATATATATATATATATATACACGGAAAATGAGGTATAGCCTATTTATGAAGTCGTCAAAATTTAATTAATTTATGAGACATAAATTGCAAAATATGCATAAACAACGGCCATCAACTGTATCAAATGTTCAACATAAAATGTATAGGAAATTATAGTTACAAAATTACATATATTTAAGCAACGTAGTATATCATAACTGGTTTACTAACAACTACAGCTTTAACCCTACAATGAAATTAAGTTGACACGTTATGGTATTAACATCTTGGTTTTCGTACATTTTATTCACTAGGCAACGAGGGAATCGTTAAGAAGATCAATGGCAATATTTTTAAGTTTTGAATGCCATTTCATCGTGAAGGAACTGTTTGAAGGAAACAAGTAGCTGTTTAAATAAACTACAACATCTGCGCTGGCAATCAGTACATTGCTCGTCGAGATTATTTCTGCGGCAATACCCTAAGAAGCTTTTTCTTCCCTTAGGACACAATTAATGGTTATTATCCTAGAACGTCTTCCCCACCCACGGCCACAATCTTTTTGTCTTTTAAAAACTGCTGAAAGATTTCATTCTCCTATATGTTGGCGAGGTATTTCTTATGTAATACGAATATTACCACATTGAAGAATATCCTTCAATAATAAATATTTAAATATTGGAAGCTATTTGTCAGACCTTCCATTTTTTAGAGTTGTTAAAAATATGTTACAAGGGGTTAAACAATCGAGGCTGCTACAGAGCAACAAATTTTACACAAATTTTGTGAAGTCTTAAAATGATAGATAGCCAGTACATTTTAAAATTATAACAAAATGTCTCTAACAGTATTTATACTAACAACCTTTGCAGAATATTTTTTTGAACTGGGCATAGGGAAAGGTGGAGATCATATGCATAATTAACTTAAAAGTTTATAATAATTTTACAAGAAATACTTAAAAAATATAGTAGATACTATAAATAAATAAATTCTGCGCTGCATGAAACAATTTTAATGCTACGATTGTATAACATTTGTCAAACCAGTAATGCGTGTGTAAATGTATTTTATAGACTTGAAGATGGACTATCAAACCTGTAATGGTCAATAAAATTGCACTAACTTTGAATCGTTTGATGGAAAAGTACGTAGTCTAGCTTGTTTCATAAACTGTGTTTCTGTTTTGAAAATATTAATACATTTGTTCCAAACATTTTAACCTCATAATATGCAAGCAGGTTATTGCTTATTTAAAATTACGATTTAGACGATTGTCGAAACTAGCTGATATGAAAACTTAACCTGTTCTTAATTTTAACAAAAGAACTAAAAAACAATAAGTACAAAATTTATCTGTGAAAATGGTATGTCATAACAAACTTTTGCGAGGCTTAAACCGGGGCTCGCACAATTTATCCCATCTTAAGGACCTGAGTTCTGGTGTTTTACTCCATGTTTTGTGTCATCATGGAAATACTAGGAGCTACGCTACTAAGATGATATAGGAGTGCACACCCTGCAATAACTGTTTCATAGTTTTAATACTCCGTGTTTCGTAACTGTTATGAACTAAACAACTCTATAGACGAGGATTGTCCGTAATTTACTCCATCAAGCTCCCCTCTCAACCAAGCAGCTCAAATCAGAGACTGTCGTATTCATTACTTCATTCACTGTTATTCTAACTGGTTTCCATCCCTAGTCTGTTCATAATGTTAAAGTCATTTTGAAAGAAAATAAACGCCCCCGCCAAGTATACATCACGTTCTGTGGTAAGGTTTATGTAGGAAGGGGGTCAATCCTTGGTGAATACTATTGTCAGTGGACATATGTGTATGCAGAATTGTGGTTCGTGGTAGACAATTCACAAATAATGTTTATTTAGGATTAGTGCTTAGATTTATCATACTTGACAATTCCTATTCCACATTTGAAATGAAGATATTCTGATTCTGATTCTTATATATGTTACAGCTGTGTGCTACATTGGGCTCTACTGGTGCCTGCTCTTTCGACAATCTTGAAGAGGTTGGACCAATATGTGAGTTTCAATTGACAAATTATTTGAATGATGTTATAAAAAATATTTGTCTCGCTCTATCAGTGTTATATTTTTGTTTATAGATATAGTATTTGTTTTCTATAATTAGCTGTACTAATATATCAAATGTTTTGTTCCAAAAAACTTTTTAATGCTAACATTGTAACTACATGCATACTAAACAATTGTGTATTAGATTAAACATTTAACTGTGAACATTTTTTTTTTTTGACAAGACTACAGCTATTGTTATGCCTAAAAAGAAGTGAGTCATCATCGTTGAAGTTTTGTACAGATTTCAACATTTACAGATGATCTAATCAACACAATGGTGGTTTCGAACAAGGAGAATACAGGGGCTAAAGCCGCTCCTCCCCATTGGACCCTGGAAAGATAAATTTAAACATACATTTTGTCATAAAAACGTAACGGAAATTATTTAGACTCATTTTCAGACGTTGAAATTGACTTTAGAAAGTCACCTTTAAAATAATACCAATCCCAGGACCCCTCCTTTTTTGAAAAGGTCCTAGAACCGCCACTGATGCTGAAGTACAGTATGATGATTCATTCAAGAAGGAGAATGAGAGGCTAATTAGATGCTGTTTAAGCTGGCAATGTCAGGGTTTTCATCCGAGGAACATATTCAGACAATGATAAAGTTTGATGTTTTAGGCAAAGAGGAAGGACTCTGGCTACATGTGGATGCTGCTTATGCTGGCAGCGCTTTTATTTGTCCGGAGTTTCGGAAGTGGCTTAGTGGCATCAACTACGCGGACTCCATAGCCTTCAACCCCAGCAAGTGGCTTATGGTCCATTTCGATTGCACCGCAATGTGGTAACTATCTTGCAAGATATCTTTAAACGTCTAACTTTATATTTGTCTTCTTTTGAACATTCAAAATTATATTGAAATGGGAATAAAAGATTTGAATAGAATACTCTACCTACCCCATTTAAAGTGCACCATATGAGTTCTAGCATGTGTTCTAAAGCTCATGGATTCTTATTGAGGTGAAAAGGATCCCTAATCTTTGGACCCACCATTAGGGAGGCATGGATACATTTCTATTCCTTCAAGCTATATCTTTATGGCCAATGAGAAGATATTCCCCAAAAAAGGTCCCTACTTCCTAGACCTCTCAATTGGGTTCTCAAATAGGTCAATCTTCAGACCTTATTTGAGACTACAAAGTGATTAGCTTGAGGCTATCCATTATTTGTTTAGGTGAATTAAAGAGCATTATTTCACAACTTTCATTCAATATTTCACAAATTTCAATATAGAGATTTATTAGAAGTATTTTATTGATATTGTGTTTTGAAAATAAAAAATGACCCCATATTAATTGCAAAAGTATTTTTTTTTTATAATACTAACATTATATGCTTTTATAATCAACCACCATAATCCGTAAAACGATATAAAAATGTGTCTAATGATAAAAAATATAAATAATCATAAGTATGTATATAGATTTAACAATTATGAATCCTCCAAGAAAAAGGCTTAACGAAAGAGTTTTACCCAAGGCGAAGAGCCTTAGGAGCACTGCCTTACATGAATTACAGGCGAAGAAATCAAGCAATTGTCCAGGAAAAGTTGTAGGACTGTGCCCTGTAGTTTGGGATTTGTATAGCTCTGGGGGGGGGGGATAATTTCTTATTTAATTCTGAAGTTAGTTAATTAAGTTTTATTTTTATTTTAGAGACTAGGACAAAGATTGTTCAACAGTAACAAGAGTAAATTATCAGTAACAATGGCAATCTAAAACAACAAGATGCAGTTATTCTTCTAATTTTGTTCTGATTTGTTTGAAGATTAAGAACGTTACTAGTACAAAAGTGTATTAAGGTAAATCTTTATTTATAGGGTTAAAAACAGTGGAGCTCTTCACAGAACCTTCAATGTGGAGCCACTGTACCTCCAGCATGAGAATTCAGGTAATTACTATTCCCTTGACCTTATGTTCTTAAAACTTCAGCTTCCCATATCCCTGAAGACAGCAAGGTGACATTACAATATACGTGTAAACAATATTGAGTACCGCTGCTCTTATAATATTTATAGAACTTAAAAATCAACTCAACACCCTAATTAATTCAATTTTTTTTAACAATAATTGGTTTTGTATAATCATAATGTGTTTATGTGGTGTGTTCATTACAAATGATAAATAGCTTACGTTAAAAATACATAAATATAAAACTCATAGCTTAGACTCAGATGAATTATTTAAATTGTTGCCTCTTTCCTAATTTTGTATTCTTATTATTTATAGTGAAACTTATTAATTCTTAAATTAAAACAGTGCTTGGCTTATAAGAATGTATTGGGCTTAATACATTTTGAGGATGATTCTTTTAGTAAGTGCACAAATAAATCTTCATTAAAGATCAATTGTTTTCTTATCTTGTTTTCATATTCAACATTTCATAAATGATTTTGTGCATGTGTGTTTTGCATTAATATCTCATTGCAGTACTACTCCTCATTTTAGAGTTTGCATCTGTTTTTTATAGAGTTTTTTTTTTACTTGAACTTGTTTGTCTAGTATACAATATACCAAATTAAAAACTAAATTTCATAAATAACTGTGTCTGTTGTAAAGTTAAATTTGAATGTATTACTGAACTGTCTTACATTTAGTGCATAAACATTGAAGCAACTTTGTTATTTGTTTTTAGTAAGAATATTCATTTTTAATAAATTGAGTACTATATTGTTTGGCATGATAATAGTGAATGTAAAGTATTTAAATTTTTTCAGGTCTAGCTATTGACTATATGGTAAGTAAACATAATTTTTAAACCATCAAATCACATTATTAATTCAAGAAAAACACAATTTGACATAAATGTTAAAAAATCGTGCATATCTTATTTACAATCCAAAAATATCCTAAGCCCACAAACCAAAACATATTCGCTCATCGTTATATCTAGCTCCCATTACTTATGGCATATTTACCAGTCATTTAGTTAAGATCTAGTATTTATAACTAATTAAATTACTAAACATTCATGTGACAATAATTGAAGACTATAAAAGAACTCTTCCACACAATGCTATATATCAAATTTACATTTGATAAAAAAATGGTATATTTTAGTCTCTAGGAGTCAGAAGTACTCTCTAAAATTACAAAAAAAAAAAAAAAAAAAAAAATTAAAGGTTTAACTTTTGCAACTTTTAACAACAAAATCTGTACATTCATGAAATTTCACCTGTGAGTTACTAATAATATAAGAAATGAAGATCCGACGAGTTCCCAAACTTTTGGCCCTTGGACCTTTTGAACTTTTGGTCCTAAGGCTCTTTTTGGGGCCCTATTTGTTCCGAGGGGGGCAATTCCGGAATAATTTTGTTTTTATGTTTAAGGTCGAGTGAGGTGTAGTTTTTCGATGGTTTTAGTTATTTTAAAACGATTGGGACTAGTTTTAAGTGTATTAAACCACTCCATATAGGGGTTTCAACAAATATTATTACTTTTTACGATATTTAAACATTTATTTATAAAGTACCTAATAGAATTAGTTACCTCCACGCTCGATACAAAAGAGGATTATTGAAAATAACTGTAATTCTTTACTACGTAAGACACTTGTTAAGTGGTTGTTCGGATTAAAAATCTGCATCAATGGTGTCTGAATTAATGAGAGCTTACTGTAACTTTAAGAAAGGCCAACGATTATAGCCGTGTAGTAATAACATTTCTAAATAGTTCCTTAATAACCTTCTAGTCACATTGTAATTTGTATATCCATGATATAGAGAGGTATACAGATGGGTGAAAAAGTAGGTATACATCAATGACACTTTTGATAGAAAAAAATATTCATTTATACAAAAACCAAACTTTTCCAATTTATTTGAAGAGTTCAAACATGCAATTTGATTTGTAGCACTGGCAGATAGGACTCAGTAAACGTTTTCGTGCCTTGAAACTCTGGTTTGTCATCAGAAGATTTGGCATCAAAGGTCTACAAGCTCACATTAGAGAGGTATGTTGTAGCTTTAACCATAGATAGAACTAGGTGTTCCATCCACATATTAAATTTGTTGCCAGTTTTATGATAAAAATGGACGTGGTATAATTGAGAGCCACCGATGGAGTTGATGTGAATTACTGATTTTTGTTGATACGCCAACAATTTTTAATAAAGCCAAACTAATAGGACGGCTTATTGTTTGCTGCAGCTATTTTATGTCACATCAACTGTCTCAGCTGGAAATTAATATACCCATTAAGAAAAAAAATTGAGTTTTATACTGTAGTAGACTCTGTGATTGATTCATCCAACTGTTTTCTTCTTGAATGAGAGAAGGTTAAGGTGGTTTGTTTAGGTGGGCACATGTGGACCTAAGTGCATATTTTAAGACAGAGAGTAACAAATGGTTAATGGATGAGATGATAGCTTTGTTACTGACTTAGATCAGTTGGTTCCTCAGCCAGGACCATTTATTAAAACCTGATAATCAAAATCAAGGTCAGCTGGGTCCAGTTTTGAACTAACTAAAGCTACTGATTTTTTTCATGATCAAACTGTCGACCTGATTACTATGTGGGCATTAAAACCACTCAGCTTCCACTCAGATAAAGGAGTTGATGGTTCTATTTTTAGAATCAAACGTTAAACCTAATAGCTTATAATCATATTATGGTGGTAAATTGACAAAGACTATCCAAATGTTTTTAACAATAAAAATCTACACAGGGAGTTCGCTTGGCTCAAAACTTCGAGGCACTGGTCCTAGGAGACCCCAGGTTTGAGATTCCCTTTGCCAGACATCTTGGCATGGTCGTGCTGCGTATCCGAGGAGACAACATCCTCACGGAGCGCCTCCTCAAGCGCATCAACTCCCGCGGTAACATCCACTGCGTGCCCGCATCGCTCAAAGGTAATCAAAGTTCGAGAGGTTTTCAATACCAAAAGGTACAATTGTATTTGTTGTTGGATTGGGTTCAAATTATTCAGCTAAGAGGATGATGTATGTGATGCTGACAGTTTGTGATGTATTAGTGGAAGTACTATTGGAGTAGTGGGAAGTTAGTTTGCCCACGGTCCAGGTACTTGAGGTTTAGGTATAGGTTCTACTAGTCAACCACCTTTGTTTGATAACACATAGTGAATGGTTTAACTTACGTTTTAGTATTTACTATAACTATTGGTTAACAAGAGAGCCAGAGTGACCTTTGACTTAAGTTCTTTGAACTTTACTACCTTATATAGTCACTGTTAACGCGTAGGCTATATGATGACAGATCTGGACATTTGGCCAGTAGAGAGGTTTTCAGTGTCAAAAGAGCGGATTATCTTAAACAATTGATAAGAACAAACCAACTCTTGTTGCATTTAAAAATAAAAACTTATAAGTAAAGATCATAATAGTGTCTTAATGTTGAATCAGATTTTATAGAGTTATTCAAATTACAGGGTATATTTGTTATAGTTATTTAATCAGAGTTGGAACAAACATTATTGCTACTTTATTGTTGACACAAACAGTTATTATACAAGGTGTTCAAAAAATGTGGGGACATAATTTATGTAGTGATTCCTTGGGTCAAAATAAAGAGAAAATCAAGAATAACATTTTTCTCAAAATCGCTTCGTTAACCAGATATCCGCCATTTTGTATTTTTTACATAACAATTTTTATCATTGAATGTTTTCAACCGATCTTTACGAAACTTGGTATGTATGTTAGGTAAAAGAGACCAATGTTAGAAAAAATTCATCTTGATTCAACTTAAAACTCTATGGACTTTCAACATTTCCTGTATGTTTGACACAACGGTGTTTGTGATTTCAGGAAAGTATGTAATCAGGTTCACAGTTACGTCTTCTCGCACAACCTTGGACGACATCACAAGAGACTGGGCTGAGATCAAGACAACGGCCACAGAGATAATCTACGAGAGCTCAGACATCACAGGGGCTGCAAGACAGAGGGTGCCACTCGGAGGTATGTACAATAATACGCAAGTCTGGTTCAAAAGAGCTGAGTAAAAGAGATAATGCTAAATCATTTACTGCTTCAAGATACAAAGAGATCCACTTCTTGGGGAAGGCGAATGCAGAAAAGTGGACAAGTTGTCGTCTTTCAGAGACAATCAGGCTAGATGCTCTCTGAGTATTTCACTTGACTCTTGACGTTTAATTCATCTCTCCCGTGCATTTATACTACAAGTAGAAATACAAGTACTGTTCAGTAAGTCACTTCTTTCATCTCGCTCTGTCAATCTACTTAACAACCAACCTTTTCCACTCCTAAGTAAACCACTGACATCCTCTACTCACTCCAGCTATATACGAGTATTTCACTAACTCACTTTTAAACTAGCTCTTGTACTTAAACTGCACAAACCATCCTTTATCAATCACTCCTCAGTGAATCACTGAAAGTTCTAAACATCCATTCTACTCGTTCTCCACCTGTGTATTGCACTTAACTCATCTGTGAGTTTAAACTGAAAGTTGAAATGAGACTACTGTGCTCTCTTACTTTTCAACTTGCACTCGACCCATGTAACTAACTTTCACCACTCCTACCCTTCGTGATCATTTACACTAAGATTTGTTGTGATAAACATGCTACAGCGGTTTTATGATACAAATCGTGTCATGTATAGTGTTTTTCGTGCTACGTTGTCAGTATCGTTGTACCAATATATGTTTCAGTTCTCCGCAGACTGCGGAGAATATTGTTTCGGATATGGTTACGAGTTGCAGCGGAAATCGCGGTGAGTCGTATCGACCGCTATGCTGAGCTGTAATATAAAATAACAGCAGCTACACAGTAGCTTATTTGCTTGGCTAAGCCGTGTTCTATTAACTCTTCTAACAACTCATTTAGCTGTCTACGCTTTCAATGTAACTATAATGAGAAACAAACTCTGCTCCCAAGGGCATTAATCCAAAAGGTACTGCTCTAAAGCACATTATTGGAGTAGTGCCTGGCCATAAAATTATTTTGGAACAGTGCCTGAGCGACACGTTTTTTTTTTTTTTTGGAGCAGACCAAAAAATATATATTTTTTTGTCTTGATAATCAAATGTTGAGATCGGCGAGCAGCACTATTTGGACCACTACCTTTTGGAGTTGTGCCTTGAGAACTTTATAAGCCCTTAACACATACAAATCTAACTCTAAGCTTGTATGGGACTGTCATGCCTCTGTGTCACAACTATGGATAGAGGAATGATCTTTACGCTTTGTTGGGTTCTTTAATACTCAGGCATTGAAGGTAAGGAAGCTATTGACAATCTGGCAAATATTGCTTCAGCGGCAACTCCACAAACTTTCTTTGCATCTCACGAAGTATATGTCCACTCCCATTGCGTCATGGGCCGCTGAATCACACCAAAGACGATGGACTGAAGTGCCCCTTCTAAGAGTAATTTTTTAGAGTTAGTACTCGGTGGAGTACTAAGATTAAGCTTGACACACCTTCAAAGCGGGTTGCGTGGGACATTCTTAGGCTGGATACGCGATGAGTTTGAAAAACAGTGGAACTAAATACCATAAACGGTCATTTTATAAAACATCTGATACGTATGAGTTTGTATGATGATGCACCATTATGTAGGAAATGCAGTAGGTCAGCGGAAACAGCACTGATATTTGACTGTGAGGACTGAGGAGCTCTGTGAGGTAAGAAGGACAATTAATTCTTGGTAACCTAGTAAGAGGATCTACCTGAAGAGGAACTGTTGGGGTGCGCAATAATTCAATGAATTCAGATGAAGTGCTTTGTAGCTTCGGCCCGCATCTGAAAGATAAGGTAAGTAGTGCACATTCTTTTGCAGCAGTGCCTCGCATCACATTTTTTTGGGAGCAGTGCTTTCAGAGGCAAAAATATTCAATACCGTATACCAACTAAGAAAGGTGAAGATACAGAGAAAAAAATATTCGCAAATATCGGTCTCAAGAATGCCAAAAGCAAGATTCTAACAAATCTCGATAATAATTACTTTCCATGTTTTATGAAAACGAAAAGTTAAAAAAAAGAAAACAGTTGACCCAACTTTTCTTTACTGTGTCAGTGTGTGTAGTTGTGATTTATGGAAACAAACTCTTAACAAATGTATCATGAAACCGCTGTGTTTACGCTTTTATGTTATATGTAATTATAAATAAGAATAAGTAATAACATTTTCTTTGGCTACTTTAGTGATAAGCCCAAAGTCTATAGGCCTACTTACTGATGATGAAATAAAAATTAATTTCTCTCAATTTCAGATTCTACTTGCTTGATTATTTTACATACTTTGTATGAAAAATTGTTAATTTACTGATAGATAATGGATATTTCAGGCATTCTTTAATATGTTAAGGAGATGTGTGGTTTTCAATGTTATCTGTACAATAATAAATTGAAACTCTAAATCCTTTCTACAAACTTGTTAAATTGCCTTTAAAAATCAACAGGACCAAGAATTAGGTATAAAATTAAAAATACAAAACTATAACTGTACTGGTTATTATAAAACTACAACTAAGAAATACATTTTTTGAATCTTATTACCCTTTCAGAAACCACCACTTATTCTCAACCTTTTCTTAATTCATGTTTATATTACAATATATGTTTGTTTCAGAACTCGAGTAAAAAATGCAGATTTTGGGTCAAGCTTGCTTCTTGCCAATTCACCAATGTCTCCAAAGATTGTTAATGGAAGCTTTGCTGCTATTTTTGACTTTGGTGATGCCCAGCTTCTCCTTTTAATAAGCTTCTGAGCCTTCAAGCAAAGGACAGCCCTGGTGAGTTTAGTATGTTATTTATTGTATGTATCATTAGGAATCTAAATAACTGTTTGATAAAGTTTATTTGGTTTTCAAAACACTATTCAACAAGTTATTTTCAATTATGTGGCTTTAATTTTGAAAGGTATTCGATTTTCTCTTACAGGTTCTAATTTTATCTCACTTTTTTGTAGGTATCAGGAATTGTGTTTCCTGTTATAACCAGCAAACAATTAGTTAATGGATAGAATAAAATTATATCACTATACCGTAAGCAGCACTAGTTGTGGAGATAAATGAACGAATTCAAACAAAAAAACAAAACTAAAAATGAGGATTTTGTGGTGGATAGGTTTAACTAACAGCATACCTCA